CTTATACCCGGATCAGGTGAACCCAACTTTGATTCTTGGGTGGCAAATCCATACGAAACATCTAAGCAAAGAAGAGAGAAGGAGGTGCGGTCTCTTCTTGACAAGCTCCCACCCGAAACAATCATGCTTGACCCAACGAAGATTGGGACGGTGAAGCCCCAAAAGAAGAAAGAAAAACCAGCGAAAAAGGAGAGGGAGACTGAGATGGAAGCTGCCGTTGAAGCTGCCAAAGATGTTACCCTGAAGAAGAAAACCAAAGGAAGGAATAAACCGAGTATGAGAATGAAGAAGAGAAAGGAGATCATTGAGAACGCAAAGAGGCCATTCTTGGAGCAGCAGTTGAAGGGAGAAGAATTGTCAAGAAAGAAGCAGAAAGTAAGTCAGGAAAGTGAACTGCCGTTGAGTTTACAGCGATTTGCTCATAAGAAACCATCATAAACTCTGGTAACTTTTTATCTCCCATGTACGACAGTTTATGAAGAGATTAAATTTTGTATTTTTATTACTTCCACAATTTTGTCTGCCATTCTTAATGATTTTTAGAAGTGTAGGAAGTCTATACATGGTAATTGGTATGAACTACCAACATGATAAGACAGAATTTAGTATAAATCTTACATAAAGTGATTGAAACTAAAATATGAAGTGAACTAAAAGAACTTTACATTTTTGACAAGAAAAAGAGTTTTCCTGGAAGGTTTCTCTTCATGTATATGTTACTGTTGAAGAAGATAAGAAAATAGGAGGATCAACTCGGCAACCTTTTCACATGTAACTATAAAATGGTTTTAAAAGCATAGTTTATTTTTATATGTGAATTCATACATGTAATTTCCATATAAAATAAACTCACTACTTAGAGAATTCTTATTATTACATCATTTTCATGTGGGTTATTTTGTTTATGTAATATCTGACTTTAGTTATTTTGAAACAAAATTAGTAAACTGAAATCTTCCACATGAAATCAAGATCCCCTTCTATCCATTAGAATAAGACTTGGGTTACTTAGATTTTTAAGACTAAGTGCTCTTAAAGTAATTTCCATTACTAATAATGATCGGAATATAAATAGTTAAAAAAAAAACAGAAAACAAAGAATATTTCTCGTTTAATCTTTCGTTACATTACATTTCCGGTACAGATTCAACTTCACATGTAGATGGAAATACTATACAATTTTGGATTTGGCATCAGCCCAACTCTCCATTAGTTCCACTAGAAGTTGGGGAAAACATACATTTAACATACAGCAACTTTAGAAGAAGTAACATGAGATGATCCTCTGAAATCTTCAGCAGTAACCTTCTTAGTCTCAGGCATACACTTGGCGTGCACTATGGGACCTAACTTATGCCTATCCATGCCGGCTCTTGCTTTTCCCTTGGCCACGTTCGCATACACAGCTCCTTTGTACATCCAATCATCAGCTTCATCACTGAAGAAATTCTCAAATTCCTCACGGCACAGTGCACATATCTTCTGATCCTCGTCTGCAGGAACTATAAACTCTTTGTCACCATCTTTCTTTTCCACAACATTTTTACCATTCAACAACTCAATCATTGTTTTATTGTCTGTTTCCTCTCCCGATGCAGCGTTCAGCCACAAACGTTCACTTGCAAACCAATTACGCGAAGGCTTCGTCTTCGAAGCTTGCTTCCGCTTCAAGTTTGAGTTGTTTTTCATTCGGTTCTTCCTAACATGCCAATCCATATGGTTCCTATGTTTTTCTTGGCTCTTGAACCGTTGTCCGCAGGCTGAACATTGTCTTGGAATATCAGCATAGAGAGCACGGATTACAGATTCATGTCTTGTTTTTAGAAACTCTGGATTAAAATCAAGTACTCCTTCAGATTTTTCTTCCTGCTTGTTCACTTCAGGGGTTTGTTTTGGCTGTTCTTCTGATATATTAACCAATCCTTCAGCAGCCAAAGAACTAACCAAATTAGAGAAGTGATTACTCGAGAGATATTGGCTAACTCCTGGCGCTATTTGTGGTGAAACAGAACAAACCAGACCTTGCAAAATTGACTCTACTGAATTTGGCAACTGGGTTTCTTTCTGTTTCTCTTCTGGTAGAGGAATTGAAGTATTTGGTGTCAAAGAGTTAATCAAATTGAAGAATCCATCATTCAATACATACTGATTAGTTGACGAAACAGGTGTAACTGGTGTTCCTTTTGATCCAATTATTTTACTCATATCAGCCCCATAACCTTGAACAGCCACAGGCGCAATATTTGATTCCATTACATTCACAGAAGCACTATGACTTTGATTTTGCACGAAGACTATTGTATTAGACAGAACCCTATCGTTAATTGCAGAGCTTGCTTTCTTGATTGTCTGGCCACCAACAGGTCCAACGCCATGAAAAGCGTTAAGTGGCATAGTTGACGGCAAAGCAGGAGGTTCCAAATTTGAACCATTATGTTGCAGCACAGGCCTAACTTCGCCCGAAACACCATAGCCTGATTGAACCCTAGCATCAATTGCAGAGTTCGGTTTCTTGATTGCCAAGTCACCAACAGATCTGATTCCATGAACATTCAAAGAAGCGTTTCTCATATTGTTAATCGGCATACTAGACGGCAAGAAAGGAAGTAACGAGTTTGACTCAGTCGTCGAACCAACAGGATTATGTTGCGGCGTCGGTCGAACTTGCCTCACAACACTACGTGCATCGGGAACTGTATTTAACAGTTGTGGTGTGAACAGTAAAAAATTGCTAGGGTTACGATTATACGAAACAATCTTGATAGGTTTTGTCGACTCGAACTGAACCCTAGACCGCTTTTGCACCGGCGCATGGTAAGACTGGTAAGACAAGTAAGAATTGTACCGATTATCAAATTGCTACAGTTATTTATCAGGTTGTCGTTTATTCTCTTGTTAGGGTTCCGATTTTCTCGAGTGAAAGACGCGGAACGGGTCCATCCCGTGAACCTTGTCGATTCATATACCAGTTAGATGATAAATCTCCATCGATGTAAATTTGATGCACAAAATCTAATTCTTGATATGAATCTTTGAGTTTCTTTAACCTCTCGTGAAAAAATTAGAAGATTTCACAAAGGATTTTGTTAGAGTTGCTCCCAGTTTCGTGAAGAAATCGAGAACAAAAAGGAAAAAGAAGAAGATGATTCGGAGAAACTCAGTTACAGAGATGAGAGAAAGTTGACGGTGAAGGAAACTAAGTCAGGATTGGGGGCTGCAAGTTATTTATAGAGTTGATCAGTCAATCGGGTCAGCCCAAATTCGAGGAATTCGGGTTCGGTTTGGAATCGGAGTCTTACGTGTTTATTTGATTTGGGATATTAAAATATTGACTTTTTTAGTTTGTATATATAATAAAATAGAATAAATTATTAATTTGTTTATTTGAATTACATATTAGATTAAAAAATTTCTAACAAAAATTTAAAGATATAATTATAATAATTTAAATAACATATATCAATTATCTTTACTAAATTTATTATTTAGTTATTATAATTTTAAAATTCTTTAAAAATATAAAATATTAATAAAATACAGCAATCAAATTAAATTTAACTGGATCGGGTTTAATGAGCCCAAAAAACTAATTCGGGTCAGCAGCTGAAGGATGTTTCTGGACTCTGGAAGAAAAGCTACCGCCAATATCAGCTCTTCGCTCATACAAGAAAATCAGGGAAAACTCAAAATTCAGTAAGAAAATTCCATTATCAAAAACCTAATTGCTTCTTTTTTATTTATCGTGGAAAGAAATGGATCCTGATATGGCCTTAGAGCTTGTTAAGCATGGAGCTACTCTTCTCCTCCTTGACGTTCCTCAGTACACACTTGTTGGCATTGATACTCAGGTTTGTGTCACGATTGCTATCACTTGGTTTGGTTCCTGATAAAAAGGTTGATGGAAAATGGGGGGCGGGGGCGGGGGGGAGAATTAGGATGTAAACAATGCATTCCCCCCTCTGATGGAGGTTTATTGTTCTTGAAAGAAAGTATTTGATTTTGTTTAGCTAAGCTTTTATATTGGAACTTATTTTGGATATGGAACATCGGTATAAAATGAGTGTTTTTGAGACAAGATGGAATTTTTTGTTTGCTGCTTAGTTGAATAATGATGCTTTCTTGATTGATGTAAAGAAGCTTGCTTGTCCGAGCTTATAAGTCGTGAAGGAACTTAAGTATTGCCCTCATTCAGTTGTTGTGAGAACTTAGGTCTGATTTATTTTTTCTTTCAATTGCCATATTCAGATTTTATATTTTAAGATTTGACTTCTTCATCACCCTCGCAATAGATTAATACGGAAAACCATTTGCATATTTCGATTTTATATTTGAAGTTTTGACTTCTTCATCACCCTCTTAGTGGATTAACACGGAAACTATGTAAAGATAGATGAATAATTTCGAAGAATTAGTATTGATCATTTTTTTGGTTGACATGATCACGATTTGACAATAGTTTTTAATTTTCGTGTTAGGTACATTTCTGTATCCACGTTATTAAGCTGTTGTTTGTAAATTGGTCCTTTTAAACGTACTTGCTTGCACAAAAGAATGTCGAGTTGGCGTTTACTGCATTCGTGATTGAATCTGCTCTTTGAGCTTCTTCTTTTTTATAATGTTTATTTTATTTTATATTTGACATCTGCATAGTTGCTTCTAACTTTGTAGTCTTCGAACTAGATTACTTTAAGGGCACTAGATTTTCCTATGATTTTAATGTTCCAGATAACATCTCTTGTTTACGTCTCTCTTGAACAGCAAAGTTACTTTGCAGATGTCCTCTGTGGGCCCTGCTTTTAAGGGGATTAAGATGATTCCACCTGGACCTCATTTTGTGTTCTATAGTTCATCAAGCAGGTTAGATAATTTCTTTCTAGGTATTGAAAGTTCAACATTTATTATATTTAATATACCTATGTGTATCGGTATTTTCCTTTCTACTAACATTAATTTTGTTACTTTATCTTCAACCACTTTTTTTCTAATGAATGGGTCATTTTTATCCCCCCTCCTCCCTGAACCCCGGTTATCATCTGTTCTATGAACTGTATGATGCAGGGCCTTTGTCTTGGGATTTTTTTAACTTATTACTTACCACCGATAAAACAAAGAGATTATGTAAAATGATCACTGAGTTTTAGGCATGAGTAGTTTCTATCTTTAATCTTTAATTCATAAAGTTCGTGTCTTTGCTCTAGAGATAGTATTTTCCAGGTATTTTGTTTGTCCGAGTTGTGTATGTTAATTTATATCAAATTTTTGTCGACATAATTTATTTATTCTCTAATCTAAATGCAGGGATGGCAAGGAGTACTCACCTGTTATTGGCTTCTTTATGGATGCTGCCCCCCACCTGGTTGGAGTCTGACCCAGTTCCTTCATTAAACTGCTTTAATGGGAGTCAAACTATTTGGTTTCAATGATTATGCATCTAGGAGATGCATTAAATTATTGACAGTGTATAGATGCCACTACCTCATGCATGGCTCCAAAATCTTCATCAGATTGACTGAGTTTTGTTGATGCTAAGAGGCCACTGGATTTTGGTTAAAAGATACTTAAGTTAGTCCTTGATAAAAATATGTGGAAGAATATAAGAAGTGTCAGTAATTGATAATTCTTGAGAGAGATGGATGAGTTGTCATTTAGGCTTTGCTTGACCCTGCTATGTAAAGTTATATTGCTTAGAAATTAGTCAGCTAAAAATTAGTCTTCATAAGTGTAAGCTACTGATGAATTTTTTATACTTTCTAGCCATTTTCTTTTCTTGTTAAATTTCTTTTTTCTTTTTATGTTTGGGGGCAGGTTCATGTTGGTTGGAGTTGAGGGGATGATTTTAGTATATACCTCGCAAAAAAAAATAACTAATCAACCTATCATCATATTGAGTGATCTTTATCATCAGTGCGGGAAGTCTTATTAGATAAAGCCTTTTGTAGTACACTTTTTCTTGTTTTTTCCTCTCACTTTTGTTTATGACAATTGATATTTTTGTGTGGATTAGAGAGGAGAAAGAGGAAAAAGAATTTTTTTTTCCATAAAAAGAAAAAAGCAGTGTAAAGAAGCAGTTAACAGGGGAAAAGGTAGAAGTATCTCATAATTCTGGTGCACTGCCTGCAACAGGTGTATGTTCGTAAATGGGATCAACAAAATGAACGATTGGTCAAAATGCCAGAGGAAGAGGTTTGTGTTACAGTGATTATAAGTATATAATCACCCTTATGTAAAATTTCATATATTTGTAATGTCTTCTTGCAATACTTGAGCAGCCATTTTAGGTCCATTGCTACTGCAAACTTGGTTATAAAAGTTGTAATTGCTGTCACTTCTTTTTTTCCCCCTGAAAACAATTTCTTGGAGGAATTTCGTGTTACATATGGAACTTATTGATATAACATATTTACACTTCTTTTTTCGGAATTATTAAATATTTGAATTCCCCTTAATATATTTATTTCTTTGCTTTTTTCTCAATATTCTAGGAAGAGAGGTATAGTCAGGCAGTTAGAAGTTTGGAGTTTGACAAATATCTTGGCCCTTATAATCTAAGTCATTATGGAGAATGGAAGCGATTGTCTAATTTCATCACAAAGGATATCATTGAGCGGATAGGTATGCATACGCTACCAGCCTATTATCGATAGTTCAATTCACTCTCTCATTAGGAATCTTTTCACTGTAAGTTTTGGAGAGTTAATGCTTTCGATATTTCGTCTGCATTTCTTGTCATTGTCATGTCATCTTTTGGAGAGCATGATTTACAAAGTACATATTCTGTATTCATTTAGGAGTTTGGTATGGGTAGCATGAGAATGGATATAGAATTATAAGCTTGTTTCAATCTGTGATTTTGATGCTTATTGAGGCAGAGAGTTCACAGGACACATCGACAAAGAACAAGCATAAATTCCTTATATGTACACAATATCTGAAGTTTTTAATCTTTGTAAGGAAGCTCAATATTAGGCTCATTCTGGCATTGTTGTTACTTAACATTCTAGAATTGATTGGCGAAGCCATCTGTCTTTGAGTTATAAAAGATCTCCCTATTGTTTTATTGTTTAAAGCACCTCGGCCAGTATGTTGTTTCCAATGCATGTTAAGAGTGCAGAAGTTTATTTTGCATATGGTGAACTCCTCAATGATTATGGTTGGAATGATATGCTAATCCCCTTTGGAGCATGGCTTTCCAGTGCATGAACCTCAGCAGTCTATAACTTCAATTCTTGTTTAGATTAGGTTATGTTCAAATCAATATTGACAATAAACATTTAGCCTTTTCTGGTTTACATTCTTCCCGGAATAGTCAACACAGCTTGAAATATTCACTTCACACTTCATGTGATTACAGAACCCATTGTTGGAGAAATAACAGTAACATGTGAATCTGAGACAATGAAAATTGCTCCTAGAACAACAATGGAGAAAGCTCTAGATGAGCAGTTGAGGAACAGTAAGTGCTCAACGACTGTTGATAAATTTCAAGGGAGAGAATGCTACTATACATCTATTCCCCGAGTTATAAAGTCTAGGGGAATCCAAGGAGAGGCACTAACTTCTCTGAATCTTGACAAGGCAAGTATATGTTAAATTTGAAGCACGGTCTAATCTTAAGGAGGTTTCGTAATCCATGAGGAATTTCTGGTTAAAAAGCTTAAATTTCTACTTATCTGACCAGACACAATTATTAGAAAGCTTACTAACGAAAGATTATGGAGGTTCTGAAGATGCTCTTCTTGGGGAGCTGCAATTTGCATTCATTGCATTTTTGGTATGCACATGCCAATATAACCTTTTCCAAGTTTAAAAGTATTCAACCTTTTCTAAATTCATTCAGTAATTTACAGATTATAGAATCTAGTAATTATGCAGATGGGGCAGTCACTTGAAGCATTTCTACAGTGGAAGTCTTTGGTTAGCCTTTTATTTGGCTGTACTGAAGCAGTAAGTAATAATGTTTTTAGATTTCCTCATGATATCTATTATCCTATTTGACACTATGTATTAAGCCTTGAAACTTTTGTTGGTCTCCTTGGCTGCACATGCATATACCTGCAGACAGAGATGCTTCATTTATTTATGCCTGTGTGTATAAGAATTAAAAAAAAATAGAAAGTTCATTTATTTATACCTGTAGAAAGAGTTGCTTCATTTATTTATGTCTCTATGTATAAGCATTAAAAAAAAAGTTTCTTTTGATCATAAGATATTGAAAGCTTTTAAGTTTCTATTCGGTTTGGTTCCGTATGGTCAAAGATTGAATGCTGACCTGACTAGGAGTTAAATATGTCATAAAACAATCCAGGAAGAGAAGTATGCTCTGGAAATTTAATATCTAAGAGACATGTAAGAAATTTTTGTTTCTTGGATCGCAATGGTTTATAATTAAATGTTAATTGAACAATTGAGATCTTGGAGGGTGATAATTGATATGCAGATTGGTAAAAGAATAATCTATTGGCCACTGAACACAAACATTTTCAATTGCAAACTCATCTGTGCTGGATAACATCTTAATTGAGATAAAGCTATCTTTCCATGTCCTAAAAAAATTGAATTAATTCTCAACAAGATTGGATATGCAATAACCTAAATGTCAAGAAGAATCTATATTCTAGAGCGAGTAAAACTTAGTACAATTAACTGAAGAAGGAAAGAATATGAAAGGAAAAAAGAGAGGTCCAAATGGAAGAAAAGAAAGATCCAAAGATCTAATAACTATGATATATAACTAGAAAGTCAAAATTGCTTTAGATGAAAATATCTATCAGTTTTAATAAGTTTTTGGTTAATTACCATTTCATACGAATATAAATCTTATGATAGTTTACAGCTGGATTTGATTTTCTTATTTCCTCTTGTTCCCCTGTTTGCAGCCTTTCTACACAAGGAGCCAGCTATTTACAAAGGTAATCTCTTTGATTATCTAATTAACTTGAAACTTCTGCATGGTTATTGGAGATACAAATACTTGAGAAACTAAAAGCAATTAAGTTCAATTTTCAAGGCCTTCTCTTGTCAAATGTGATCATTCCATTATCTTTGCTATTCATGGTTGGTTATGGCCTCTTGAAAAGAAAAAATATGATAGTATTATCTAGCAGTTTTCCTATTCCTGCACTTCTCTTGAATCCTCTTCCTACACTTGCAAATTTCTTCTTTTATGATGGACTTGTGTATCTTTTTGTGGTCAACATGGAGTCTGCCAACTATTGTTCGTGAAAAATATTTCAAGTTTTTAGTTATTTACTTTTTCTGGTTCCTAAGTAGACACAAGAATCTTGGTTTCTCTTCCTTGTATGATGTCTGATAAGTATGTTACAGTTCATTAAAGTCATATACTACCAATTGAAATATGGACTCCGAAGAGATGATAATGGTCGAGAGACAGGAGGACCATCGATATTAGATGATTCATGGTTTACCACTGACAACTTTCTGCACCACCTTTGCAAGGTATTGGCTCTGCTGCTTTTAGCATGGTTTCTTTGCTTAACAGTTTGTTCAGTAGATTCAGTTACCTATTTGATGACTTATTATTGGTTTCCCTAGACTAATAATTAGTTGCTTTAAAGTTGCAGCCAATAAACAAAAGCTCTATTGCATTATGCATGGACTAACCATTAAATGGGGTTGCAGGATTTCTTTGCGCTGGTAGAAGATGCTTCTGCTGTTGATGGAGATCTTCTATCATGGGTATGTGCCCGAATTCCAATTCTCAAGTTAACTTTCAGCCATATCAAAAAGGGTTCATTTAAGTTATCAAATGAAGCGAGAAAGTCACTGTATTAAGTTACCAAGACTTGTTGTTCATCTGGGGAAGCCTGTCCTGGCTACGCCCTCCACCTTTACAGGAGCTGGGCAAATCCAGTTCAATTCCTTATTCATCTGGTGCATAAAAATGTAGAAATTTTGGTTTTCTTCAAGCTAGTACAGAGAAGTGAATTGCCTTAAATTTCCTGTCTTCTTCAACTTGAAGCCTAATTTAAAATACTTAGGAGCAGCAGCCCTATATTGTATTTTATTGCTGGAATGTGGAAAACATATTTGCGTATGTGCTTCATGATTGTTTCTCCACCTTTAAAGTATGAAAAAAAAAAAAGAAGACAGAGGCAAAAGAATCCAAGGAAAGACACGCACCAACTACTGATTAAAATCGAGAACTCTAAAATTTTCTACGATTGACTTGTTACCTGTAGTATTTAGGACCGGAAGAGGGGGACCGAAGCTAAGTTAGGATATCTTTCCACGTCTGACATGATATTTGATTGAGGAATTTTAAATAGACAACTCTAAAACTGCCCCTTAGGCAGTTTTAAATAGACAAGTAACTAAAAGTTTCTGTCCGCTCTTGTAGACAAGGAAGTTTAAGGAGTTGCTTGAGGAGAGTTTAGGATGGCAGTTCCAGCAAAAGAGTGTTGTTGATGGTTTGTACTTTGAGGAAGATGATGAGGTGAGTGTTCGCTATACTCCTTTGAAATTTTAAATTCTTGCTCTATATATATAATATTATCATATATCTCAGACTCTTTCATGTTGAACAGTATGCCCCTGTGGTTGAGATGCTGGATGGTACAAATTATGAAGAAGCATCTACAGCTTGAACTAACACTCAAGTCAGTCCACTTTTGTAGTCAGAGAAATATAAGATGCAATGAGTGCGAGTGATGTGAAGAACACTTGTTCATCATTTTGTAATGAAGATACTGCAATGCCTAGCAGAGATGGTATCCATGGAAACCTTTTGTGTAATTTTTGGAACCCAAAAAAAGAAATTTATGTTAGAGAAAACGCTGTTAAAGTAGGCTCGTGAAAAATAGTTTTAGTAGCAAAGATATCAAACTATCAAAACTGTGAAAATGTATTTGGTTTAACTTTAGTTTGTTTTTGTAATAATTTCCTAAGAATTTGTAATGTAATGTTGAAATTATTGTTCTTGTGGTTAAATCTCCTTTATATTATTATATAAAGCGCACAAGACAACAAAAGCGTTTGTAGTCCAACGGTTAGGATAATTGCCTTCCAAGCAATAGACCCGGGTTCGACTCCCGGCAAACGCAGACCATCTTTTTGCCCCTCAATTTTCCTTCCATTTATAAATTCCACGGGCAAAAACCGAATTTTTCAACGACTAATGTGATGGCCCGGAGGCTCTATTCCCGCCTCTGCCTTCTTCCTCGTCTGTTCGCCACCTTCAATCCTGATGTTCCTCCTCTGAGGTTTGATCTTCTTCTCGCATGTCTTCGTTTTTTTTCCTTCTGTATGCATAAAGACGGTATGTTGGTCAATGTTGTTTTTGTATTTATAAAATTTTGCTGCTAACGTAGAGAAAACACTTATTATTTTTATTTTTTTTTATAGATTGAAGCCTCTGTCTGATTCAGCCTTAAACAGTTCAATTCATCTTCATGCGTTTTCCTCCAGTTATCAAGGTTAGCATATACTTGCTCAAGTAGCATGCTTCGTGCTTCATGATGCACCTGTGGTATGTAGAATGAGCCACTAACGTGCTTCGGTGGGAGGAAGTAATGGGAGCTTCTGTAACGTATGCTAGGTGCTTGTAAAAAGTCTTAATAGAAGCCAATAATCATCTGTTTGGAACCCGATCATCTTATTGCCCTTTAGGCTTACTTTACTGATGAATATACGAAGCCGTACGTCTACTTGTATTTTTAATCTCATTTGCCCGCGAGACAATGATGCATTTATAATTTTAGAGGATACGGGAAATTTTTTATAATGGTGGGTGATGTGGATTTAGCGAGTGTACTTCCTGTAATGATTTCAGGTGTTCACCATAAAAAAAAAAAAAATATTTCGGATTTGCTCGTTAGATTAATGGCTATGATCTTGTCTAGTGGGCACTCAAATAGAATGGATGGATTTCTGTAGTTATGTTAAATATGAATTTCTATTTGCAACACAACACACGGTAGTTTGCTATTTTCTCGTTCACTTTTTCATTTCCAATTAGGATTTAGTTATAGCCATGGTTTTCACTAGTTTCTTACTTCTATCTTGCTAACTGCACCCCCGGATTTGTTTACTGTATTGCAGCATTGAGATCATATGCTCGCAGGCCATGTAAAGACTATGATCTGTTTGGCAAAAGGACAACAGGCAATGAAGAATTCAGGAAAGCCTGGAAGAAAGAAATGGATGATGATACTACCTTGTGGACAGGCAGTGAAGCTGAAACTGATTCTGAAGAAAGGGGAAATCGTTTTGAAAAAGAGATCAGGAAAGTAAGACAGCAAGCAAAGGAGCATTCACATCTAATTGATGCTGATGACAGTGATGAGTTAAGAAGTGTATGGTCGGAAAGTGATGAGGAGAAAACTCTGTGGACTGGTAGTGAAGGTGATGATGATGATGATATTCCTACAGAGCCATACCCAAATGAAGCTAGTGATAAGTACATTGATAAATTGTTTGAGTTTGAGGAAAAGCCTAAATATAGAACAATCTCAGAGCTACTGAAAGCTGAAAATGAACCAGAAGAGTTATCACCAGGGAAACAAGCAAGGAAACTTGCTGTCGAGAATGCTTTGAAAAAATTGAAGAAAGGACCTGATGGGCGTTATACCAATGTGTGGGAAGTCATGAGTGACATAGACATTCTAATAGGAGCTTTTGAAAATATTGTTTCTGGACCAGAGTATGAGGGGCTTAGACAGGGAGGACCAAAGAAACTAAATATTCAGTTTTTTAAGGATATACAAGCACGAATGAGAGATCCAAACTATAAGTTTTCTCCCGAGTTGAAGTTAAAGCCGAAGAGCAAACTAGTCCCGAGAAAGAAATGGCAGAAGACCCAGTCTCGACGCAGGAAAGCACAAAACCGCTAATTCTTTAGCGTTTCTATTCAAAGTTGCAGCAGGTTACTTGTTTATTTAACTTTTGTTACTATTTCATATCACTCAGGATTCTAGAGATTGCATTGCCTCGCAGTATTAGCATGCAGGATAAGATTATTCCGAGCAGTGAGGTTTGTGTGTTAAATTCCTTGAGTTTATCTGTTTCCTCAATCACGGATACAATTTTGGGTTGAATCCTTTTCTTGTTTAGTTCCATGTCTTGAAATTTGGATCACAAGCTGATTTTCTCCCACATTGCAAATCCTTGTAAAGATGTTGAGATCACACACACATATATATATATGAAACAAAAGATGTTGAGATCATATGAAGCTACATAATAAACTAATTACTGGCTGTTCCTTTTCTCCCAGTATATCAGCAACTTCTATAGCGCTAAAATTAAGCAAGCATGGCAAGAAGCCAGAAACTTGATTCAAACTACATAGGATCCAATAGAGGAACATGTACTACAGTATTAAACTAAGACAATCATCTGCATGGATTTCCTTTCATGAGCATGCTGGTTTTCTGTACTGCCCTCTTTTTCCATTTACAGCCCCAATGTTCTTCTGTGCAACAAGTGAGTTAGGTTGCTCCAGCTTAGAAGTATGGATGTTGCACATAATTGAGTCCCTGATCAAATATATCTGGAGTCAGAGAGGTTTTCTTCATGATGTTTCCTAGATACGGGTACATACTATTTTCATCCACCATGTTGTTATTGTTGTGCCTGCCTTGCATATTCATCATGGCCATGGATGGGTGGTTGTAGCGTAAATGCTGTTGCATATTGTTTACCATGTTGGATGGTATAAAATAACTTGGTACCCCTGCATTTAGGCTTTCTAATGAATCAAATTCAACATCTGCACCATTATACTGAAATTTTGCGTCACCAATAATGGATATCATATCGTCTTTCCATTTTTCATTTATAGGGGATGTGTCTCCTTCCCATATTATATGCCCATGTTCCACCTTTGTTCCTTCTATCAAATCCTCCCTATGCATCTTGCCATTCATAGACTTGTTTCTGATATTTGGCCCATATTCAACTTTGTTGCCAAAGTTGCTGAGGACATGTTCATTCTGGTGTGCATCGAGACCTTTACTTGGATATCTGTCCTCATAAACTTTACTTGCATTTTCCTGTTCAAATTTATGTTTCTGGTTTGAATTTGGAGACCAGAGCCGTGCATGTTTCCCAGATTTGATCAACTTATTGATTAAAATCACAGGATCTACACTGCCCATAACCATGACCAATTGGTTTTCTGCATCTATCTTCACGGAGTAGACACCTGAATCCAAACCAGCATAACCATGTTACCATGTTCACAAACCCATGAAAATGCCATCTTTTCTTTTCTTATTTTCTCCAGTAATTGGAAGTACTTTGTAAAGATGGAAACTAAAAAAATAAAAAAACAAAAGACTACCTTCAATTTTTTTGAGAAGTTTCTTTACTTTCTTCTTGCAGCCATGACAGTTGATATGTACGTCAAGAATATATTTCTGTGAAGAAAGTTGGGAAAACAAGCTCAAATATGAGTAGAAGAGAAAGAAAAAAGGGGTTTAAGGAAAAAAAAGACCTGGATATATAAGGGCTGATTTCCATTTATTGACATATTCTGAGCAGTGCTTGTCTTCTTTTTCCAGGAACTCACTGGTGAAACAATGTCAGTTTATATAGGCCGAACTCACAAACATTCTGTGAGCAACACATACAAGCAAAAAGACAGAGACAGAGATTGTTGGTCTGAAAAGTGTGATCTGACGAGGTCAGGACTCAGACCACCATTTCCTCGTGACAGTAGCTAACTGGTTAGTCTTGTTCAATTGTCTTTTTTGAAATATTATTTCTCAAACTTAATTCTCGGCTGATAAACCGGAACAACTTTTTCCCCCAACTTATTTGTTTCGCATATGTCAGTTCTCCTGCACCAAGCTTTGTGCAAAAGCAAATTCTGCACTTGGGATGAAAATCTCCTCCTATACACACCCCCGCACACACATGTACTGAAATTAGAGTTTTACCAAACCACGCTGAGTTACTTATTTGTTAGGATCAGGATGTTTGCTAAGTCCATATGAATTATTGGTCAGTAGGAACTTCATGTTATAATATATTTTCACTTGGAAAGAAGAAAAACTGACTTGTATATCCTACAATATTCCAAAAATAATGAGAAGGGAGTTAAAATTTTACCAAAATCAAATAATTTATTGGGGTTTTGTCATATAAAAATCTCACAATAAATTTTGATATTCCCTCAATCCCTACATTTGAAAGGAATAAAAAGAAAACTGAAACTGAAAATATGGGGGGAAAAAATCTCTTTTAATAACAAGTCCTCCTAGGATGACTTAGAGATTCATAGCCTAGCCAAAAATTGAGGATAGAGAAATTTTTTTTCCCAATCACAGTGTACAACAGCGACCATTACAGAAAAGTATGTAAATTAGGATCTTGTCATTACAAAACTACATGTAGTTCAAACAGATTTGGTGCAATAAACAGAAAATTAATTCAAGGAGAAATAGGAGAAGATCAGAGAAAGCGAACGCCTGCTTTCTCAAATCTCAATGCTTCTTCCTTATAAGGAGTTGTTTAAACCAGTAAGCTGACATCTTGGGATGCCTCTTGAGGTTGTTTTTGAAGTCAACATAAACAATGCCAAATCTCGAAGTATATCCTGATGACCACTCGAAGTTGTCGAGCAATGACCATGCAAAGTAGGCAACTACTTTTGCTCCATCATCAATAGCTTTTTTCAGCTGTGTCAAATAGTCCTTGTAGTACTTCACTCTTTTGGGGTCATTCAATCCTGCTGGAAGCGTGATACTGCCAGGGTCATCCATGCCTGTTTTCATTTGTAATATAACCAACACGTGAATATCATCATCAGCTTTTAGTTTTCTGAACCAGACAGGAAAAGAACATGGGAAAAGACAAAGCAGATTCCTATGCGTTTATACCGTTTTCAGACACAATTATGGTTGGATTCCTGTAATGCTCCTTTACATATGTCATTGACTTGTACATCCCCCAAGGTACAATGGATAGCCACCAAGAATTTGCCTGCAAATTTCATAATAAATAATTAATTAGCAGCTTGAACGATATCTTTGGTTGAATGATGTATGCTTAATTTGCTCTAAAATGCAGCTGCAGCAATATACAAATAGTAAATTCTCGCTTACCTTTGGACCAATTGGAATACCATGGCGTTCATCTGCAAGATTCGAACACAAATTTGGTCAAAAGTTCAATTAGAATGGAAGAATTAATGTTGTCTAAATGAGAACAGAAGGGCTTACTTGAAAAACCAACATTCCAGTCCTGCTGGTACCCTGTGACATTAGGTTTCGGCTGATGGGGGTCGTATATGTAGGTAGTAGTATAGTGATTGATGCCAACAAAATCTATTGAACCTTTCACCATCTCAACCTGGTTTTTATTGAATTTTGGTAGTCTTTTCCCAACAATTTCTTGCATTGTTTTTGGATATTGGCCAAATGTTATAGGATCTAGAAACCTGCATTTTTCTGGTCAATTAGACCAAGAGGGCTCTGGAATGAAGAAAGTGAATTGTTTGCATAAATCTGAACTTGAGGAAAAAGATGAGTATTTACCATCCAATGTGAAAATCTCTTGCTCTCTGAGCTGCATAGTTGTCGGCCTTTGATCTGGTAAGAGGTTCGTACCAGCCAAAGTCCAAGACAATTCCGATTTTCCCTCCTTGCTTTTCCTTGAAGACGCATAAACGTAAACACAGATTTAGCTTGCATCAATCATTTACATTTGATCTTGGATAGAAATTGAGTGAGTGCTGAGACAGATATCAGCAAAAGTTACTTGATATTTGCGCCTGTATCTTCTAACAGCTGTTGCATGAGCAAGAATCACATTGTGGGTGACAATATAAGGCTCGGTGGACGAGTCTCCGTGGATGCATTTGGTGCACCGGGAAGGAGGATCACTGCCACTGTCATATCCAAAAGCAGCAATTAGTCTGGGTTCATTGAACGTAAACCAGTTCTTGACTCTATCACCAAATGTCTTGAAGCAGAACTCCGCGAAGTCAGCATAGTCCTTTCTGCAAAGTTTCCATCACTAACAAAATCAATGACGAGGAGGAGATATAAACAGACGTTCTCGTGTTCTACCAAATGCACACAGATACAGACAGACATATACACACGGAAACAGATTTATGTAAATGGGTGTATAGAAGAAAAAGAGAATCTAAATGTGGCTTACACAACTCTGGGACTGAGAAAACCAATGTATTTTTTCTGAAGCGCTAGCGGAAAATCAGAGTGATAAAGGGTTGCGTATGGTGTAACGCCTGCAACAGAAGATTTACCGAAGGAAACATCACAAGTTTTAGATTTTTGAAGAAGAATAGCTGGATTCCAATTATTAATTTTATTTCATACCTTCCGCAACCAAGTAGTCAATCAACCTATTGTAGTAAGCAACTCCCTTCCAATTCACACTTCCCACTCCGTCTGCAATAGATAAGAAGTATGTCATCGGAGCTGCTAGTTATCATCAAACGGGGAAGAACATTAACAAGAGAGAGAGACCTGGAAATATCCTTGACCAGGAAATTGAGAAGCGGTATGCATCAAAATTGAAATTCGCTATAATGTCAATATCTTCCTGCAATATTAACGTAATTAAGAGACGATGTTCTAAATAAGCAAAAGATTCTTAAATTTTGGGTTTCATTCAGACCAATAATTTATACCTTGTAGCGGTGGTACTGATCGACGGTCACATCCGCAGTAGCGTTCTGCGCAATGCGTCCTGCTCCACAGTTTATTTTTTAAATAATAAGTAATATATATATATATACATATATGTATAGATATAGAAAATTTAGAAGCATTATGAATTTATAGTAACAATTTATTTAATATTTTGTTGTATTATATTATTATTATTATTATTAAAGAACAGTCAAATTTTTAAATTTATTTTTTTTTAAAAAATATATTTATAAATTTTAAAACCAGTGTATATAATTTTTTTTTAAAAAAAAAAAAAAAACTGAAGGGAAGTAGAGATCGAAGAGCAGAAGGACGGCGGAGATTAAAACTAAAAATTTCAAATCTCAACCCAAAGCTGATAACAGTAACAATCTCACCGGGCACTTTAACGTAAGCATCCCAAAGGCATGGCCCTCTGCCGTCTTTATCCGTCATGCCTTCCACCTGATACGCCGAGGTCGCAGTTCCGAACACGAAACCTTCGGGGAAGCTGTCGCGACTCATCCCTCCGGTGTCGATTCGAAACGAATCAGTCTCGATCCGTCCTTCTGCTCCGGCTCCGACAATGTGGAAAACGCCGGTGACGGCGAACAACAAGCGGAGAAGTAAAACGGACATGATTACCGCCGCTGGGACTGAGATTTTGAACTCCGGAGCAGAGCGGACAATCAACGCTATATAGGGAAAGGTAATTTTATTTATTTATTTATTTGATAAAAGGGCACGTGATTTATTTACTTTTTTAAAATAATAGTCTCCATTGATGAGGTTCTTTGTACTCGCCGTGCATCCCGCTTTTAACACGTTGATATATTTCAGTGCGGCCTGACATTTTCAAGAGTTCGACAAAGATAGAGAGATTCGCAGCCCCATAATATTCCGGAGAAGGCGAACAACACACACCCCATAGAGTCTCCGGCAACTATTCTGTACTCTCCCTTTCTTCCCGAGAGAAAAACAGTTCCGTCCACGTTATATTTCTATAATCCGAACCATGGTGTCATTCACTTTTCTTGGGAACTGACTCGTACTATTTCGTCCCCGAACTCTCTGAGCGTGTCTCCGATTAAATATAAGAAGGTCCTAGCGAGATCTATGGCAGTAGCCGCCGCACACAGTTATTTTTAATAATTCTTTCTGATATTTTTTGTAACGACCTCGAAACGAAATGAGTAAGGACCTCTCACCCTATTTTCTATCATAGTATTAAAGTTCAATAATAATAAAACGGTATTTTTTGAATCAACGAATGTGTGAAATTATTTAAGGTCGCTAATGGAGGCCGAGTCTAGTGTGTTTGTCGTTTAACTGTTATTTGACCTATTTTATAGTTTTAAATGCAGTATGAGGTCTGATGTTTTCATTTCATAGTTTCATGTGCATATTTTACTGTTTTATTGATTATGGGTTGAATGACTAAGTAATCGATGCTGTATGTTGTCTTGTTTAGCATAAATTACTGTTTTGCTTGTTTGTGTGTGAATTGATGATGCTGACTGAGGAAAAGGGGAATGAAAGGTTATATAAATTGATAATTGTATAATGTGATCAGCCTGACTAGATATCCTGGGAGATGTTGGACGGACCGGGTCCGTAGGAAACCCTACCGGGATTGTGGTCTCTCATACCGGACGGGGTATGGAGACCTTATGTGTTTTGGCGCCCATACCGGACGGGGTATGGGGACGGCCCGTTTCACCCTTATACCGGACGGGGTATTGAGGTTTATAATTTTGGCGCCCATACCGGACGGGGTATGGGGACGGCCCTGGAATCAGGTTGCAAATATTAAAGGTTCACGGGTAGCGGGACCCCTATGAATCCCCACGGATACTAATAGGCTGGTAGAAGAGGAAAAAATATGTTGTGTAATGATTGAATTACAAAAGGCGTGATAAGTATTATGTTATACAGTTTATATGATTTCATGATGATGATAATGTTATTGTTTTCGTATATTGTTTTATGAATTTCACCGAGTTAAGTGGATTGTAAATGTTTTATTATTGATAAAATGATTTGTTGTAAATTATGCTCTATTGGTCTTTTTGTATTTTCTACCCACCTTTACCTCTGTGACGGTGAGATATCGTGATGTCTTTACTGGGGTAGTGTAGCTCATTCCTTATTTAATCATTTCAGATCAGGAAGACATTGTTCCCGAGCCCGTTCCGCAGGAAGACGACGAAATGGACGCCTAAAGACTCCATAGTCATATTCATAACTTTTACTTTCGAGTTTCTCTTTTAGTTAGTTTGATCTTTTATATTTTGAGCATGTTTTTAGTTTTAGTGTAAGGGATGTTAATCGAAATTTTGACTTCGCTTCCACATTTAACATTTTTAATACACATATTTCATTTTAAATTTCCGGGACCGTTACATTTTTAATATACTTAATCGATCGACCCGATTTTCTATGAACAAATACTTTACTTTCAGGACGCCAATTTATTTTTCATTTTATCAAATACTAGCGACCGTGTTGTCATATTTTTTCCGTAATTACATTTAAAAATCTCGATTAACATAATCATCCACTTTTTAAAAAATTAATTTTGATAATTACAATCGCTAATGATGATAATTAAAAACCAAATTGATAATCTAATATACTAAGTTAATACTTAACTTCTCGAGGGAGTTTATAAAGAGTAAAAATTTATATTCTTAACCATTCTTTGAAATATTTTTTTCTTACCATAAACATATGAACTTCCATATATATGCGTGTGTGTGTGTGTATATATATATATATATATATACGGTGTACATATTTTATCTATTTTAATTAAAAGATTTCAGAATTTTCTATAAAAGAAATTATTATTATTAACTTAATCCAAAAAAGTAATATATCTATTTATCATAAATAAAAAGTAAATAAGCAAATTTTTTTCTTACCATAAACATATGAACTTCCATATATATGCGTGTGTGTGTGTGTATATATATATATATATATACGGTGTACATATTTTATCTATTTTAATTAAAAGATTTCAGAATTTTCTATAAAAGAAATTATTATTATTAACTTAATCCAAAAAAGTAATATATCTATTTATCATAAATAAAAAGTAAATAAGCAAATTATACACCTTATCCAAACTGAGATATGTTTTAAAGAATCTTCTGACGTGGCAAAATCTTAACCGTTGGCAAGGCTTTTAACGCCACTAATGATTTCCATCATAAGTCGTAACGGTTAGCCGTTAGTCTTCGTTTGCCCAGCAGGAAGAGACGCAATCCCATAAGATCTCTCCTGTCAGTAAATCACATGCTCCTATAAAACGCCGACACCCTCCATTCTTCTCTCCCACTCACTCTGCTCGATATTCAAATTCTTTCTCACTCCACAGAGCTCGATCATGGCGACGTCAACGTCCATGGCCGCTTTGTTACTTCGCCGTGTCTCGTTCCTTGTTATTTGCATATCTTTCTTGGCAGGAGCTGCTCCGGATGGTACCAGTACCTTCCGGATCGACACCAGCGGGATGAGTCGCGATAGCTTCCCGAAAGGTTTCACGTTCGGGACAGCTTCGTCGGCGTATCAGGTGGAAGGCATGACTGACAAAGACGGTAGAGGACCTTGCATTTGGGATCCGTACGTCAAAGTACCTGGTGAGATTGTTGCTAATATTAGGATTTAGATTTTCAAATTTTAATCTCAGCCTTCCATGTCGTCTTGGATTTCTACTGGCCTTTTGATTGATCTATTTATGTAATACGAAAATTAGGATGTTTAATTAGTTGAATCGGATGGTTATTTAGATTTTATTTTGTAATAACCTTTACATGGATGTGTTAATATGGTGTTGGAACAGGACATATTGCGAACAATGATACTGCCGATGTGGCCGTTGATCAGTATCACCGCTATAAGGTACTATCTGCGCATAATTCTATTACATATTACAGATTGTGTTATATTTTTTATGAGCTTAATTGATTTAAATTCACAATTGTTCATTTACGATGTTATAATTTTTGTTAGGTTAAAAAGCTGCTTGTTGTTGGCTCAGTACTCCTCTGTCTTACTAGAATCTGTTTCTCTAGAATATGAACTGATAAAACTAAAGAATCGATGTCTCTGTGATTAGCTAGGAAGCCATAACGTTTTAGATTTTCATCTTTCTTATCGAGGTTATATGCCTTTTATTTTAATACTGCAGGAAGATGTTGACATAATGGCAAAATTGAATTTTGATGCATACCGCTTTTCGATTTCCTGGTCAAGGATATTTCCAGGTCTGACATTCTTGTTAATGTTGTACACCTTTTAATGAAAATCACTGTAAGCAGCAGCTCAGATGGTAAATTTGTTATTTATTGCAGAGGGAGTGGGAAAAGTAAACTGGAAGGGAGTTGCTTACTACAATAGATTGATTGATTACTTGCTTGAGAAAGGTATGTATCAAACTTGAGACTTTTCCCCACCTTTTCAAGGCTTTTTGATATGTTCTATCACAACTTTAGCAGACTGCATCTAATCAAATATAAAGAATTTGTTTTCTTGGATTTGGACATGTTTACTATGTAGTAGCAATTGACTGCTCGAGCAATCTTGCTATAATAATTAGGATACCCGCTTCTATTGCAGGCATTACCCCATATGCAAATCTTTATCACTATGATCTTCCACTGGCTCTTCAGGAAAAATACAATGGCTTCCTCAGCCACAGAGTTGTGTAAGACATTCGAATTCTCCGTATATATCTCTGCTTTAGTTTGGACGCAAGATTAGCTCCATACTTTCTGTTCATATCTTCTCCTCAAAATAGATTTTATCGATGATTGGAAACTGTGCAGGAAGGACTATGCTCACTATGCAGATTTCTGCTTCAAGACATTTGGTGATAGAGTCAAGAACTGGTTCACATTCAACGAACCCAGAATTGTAGCTGCTCTTGGGTTTGACAATGGCATCAATCCTCCTTCCAGATGCTCCAAAGCCTTTGGAAATTGCACTGCTGGAGACTCTTCAACCGAGCCTTATATTGTTGCCCACAATTTGATTCTCTCTCATGCAGCAGCTGTCAAAAGATACAGGCATAAATACCAGGTGACTTATCTTGATTCTGTTTCAAACTTTTTCTAGTTTTTCCTATCCAAAATCATATTAATATTGATGCAAATTAAAAGGGTGTAAATAAATCTTCAGGAAAAGCAAGGAGGGAAAATTGGAATTCTCTTGGATTTTAACTGGTATGAACCTCTTACAAGATCAAAGGCCGACAACTATGCAGCTCAGAGAGCAAGAGATTTTCACATTGGATGGTAACCACTCGTTTTCTCCTCAAATTAAGATTTATACAAAGAATTCTTTTTTTATAGAGTGCAGCAAGCACTCCTCTGTCTTTTCTTGGTCTAATTAACAAGAATAATGCAGGTTTCTACATCCTATAACATACGGCGAATATCCAAGAACAATGCAAGAAATTGTTGGGAAAAGACTACCAAAGTTTACCAAAAACCAGGTTAAGATGGTGAAAGGTTCAATGGATTACGTCGGTATCAACCAATATACCTCTAACTATATGTACGACCCTCATCAACCCAAGCCTAATGTCACTGGCTACCAGCAAGACTGGAATGTTGGTTTTTCTCGTAAGCCCTTCTTCTGCTCTGATTTATATAATGTTTTCAACAAACGATTCCTTCGTTCTATGCCAAGTATTGACCAGATTTGTATTCGAATCTTGCAGATGAGCGTAATGGTGTGCCAATTGGTCCAAGGGTAAGTGAAAATTTAGTAGTTTTATATTGCCGCAGCTGCATTTGGGAGCAAATTAAGCATCCATCATTAAACCAAAAGATTTTGGCTTTGGTTGTCGAAGCATCTAATTAATGACGTATCATAAAATTTGCAGGCAAATTCTTGGTGGCTGTATATTGTACCATGGGGCATGTACAAGTCATTGACATATGTAAAAGAGCATTATGGGAATCCAACCATGATTGTGTCTGAAAACGGTATAAATACATAAGAATCTGCTCTGTCTTCTCCCATGTTTCTTTTTCTGTATCTGATTTTGAGAAAACTAAAAACCGACGATAATATTCATGTGTTTGTTATTGTAAACGAAAACAGGCATGGATGACCCTGGCAATGTCACTCTTCCAGCAGGATTATTTGATACAACAAGAGTGAAGTTCTACAGGGACTATTTGACAGAGATGAAGAAAGCTATTGACGATGGAGCAAATGTAGTTGGCTATTTTGCATGGTCGTTGATCGATAACTTCGAATGGTTATCGGGATATACTTCGAGGTTTGGCATTGTTTATATTGATTTCAAGAACAACCTCGAGAGGCATCCTAAGATGTCAGCTTACTGGTTTAAACAACTCCTCGCAAGGAAGAAGCATTGAGATTTTAGAGAGCTGAAATTCTCTCGGATTTTTCTTTTTTTGTTTCATCTTTTTTTCTTCAGTTAATTTATTGTTTATTCTACAAAAACCATTTTTTTTTTTTTCATCTTTTTTCCTTAAGTTAATTTATTGTTTATTCTACAAAATCCATTTGACCTATAAATACCTTTCTAATAACAAGTATCTTGAGCTACATCATATATATATATATATATATATATATATATGAATACACACATTTTTTCATCACTTAATTCTCTGCTCATGACTGAGTTATACATAGATCCATAAGCCATTGATAACAGAAAACAAGAATCAAATATGGCTTCAACTTAATAACAGACTAAATAGATGGAAGAAATTGGTACAGGATGGTAATTGCTGCAGCCTCCTCCTGAAGGATAAAATACAGAAAGTTGGATTAACAAGAGTAAAAGTTTCTGGGAAAGAATTTTATCATCATCATGAGCATATTCACAAGTTCATTACCAAAATAGACGGGAGTAACATCGATCGTAAGTGACTCGATGACAGACAAACTGGGAGATCATCAGACTTCTTTTCAGAAGAGTCTGAATGAATGAGATGTGGGGAAGATGATTGTTGAAAGGTTTCAACTGTGGATGATGAAACACAACTGCCCATCTTCCACTTTGTCGTTTAATTTTGCAGGGAATTCTTTCTGACCATAGTGCAGTAGCAGCACAATGTCAGATACACACAATCCCTGCTTCCTACATCCATCTAAACACTTAAAAAAATCATCATGTACAATCTGGTTATTTTGTGAGGAAGACGATTGTTGAAAGATTTCAATTGATTATACAATGCATCAATTTCACAGAAAGACTAATCCTCAGAGACATGGGTCTGGTAGAAGGAAAAAAAAAATTTCCAGTAAAGCTTTTTATTAACCGTGCTTCACCCACATAAGTTCTAACAGATTCTAATGAAAGCATTGGTGAGGATCATGCTTAAATGGTTCAATATCTAAGAGTAGAAGAACCAACAAAATCATAAAAGGATAAGTAGAAACCATATGATGAAATGAAATGGATGAACATCAAAAGCATTATATTGCAAAGAAACCATGTGGGGAAAGATGATTGTTGAAAGATTTCAATGGTGGGTAGTGAAACACAACTGCCCATCTTCCCCCGTTCGTTTATTTTGCAGGAAACACTTTCGAGCATAGCGCATTGACGGTTGCACAGTGTCGATACACACAATTCCTGCTTTTTACACCATTCTAAACATTGAAAATCCATGCAATTGAACAAAATCCTAACACATAAATAGCCATTTAAGAAAGATTAGCACAAGCCGCATACGTTATCACTCAACGAAACACGAAGAAATAAAGCAAAACAAGCAGCAGACAGATAAGAATTGAGAAGAAACAACAATAATTACATTACTTTCAAGGCATACAAATCGCAGAACTAAAAATAAATCGTGCTTCCCATACATTGAAAGTATCGGATGACATTCGGTTATCAGAAAAACAAACACATATGACTACGATCCAAGCCGAAGACCAGATGGAATCCTAATTATCGACAAAACACAGTTGAACATTAAACGATTGTAGGGTTTTCAATGTGTCCAGTTTTGGTCATCGATTTAGATAGAAGATTAAATGCTCGTCGAGTCCTTAGCGTGAAAAATGAAGACGGATATTTTAGGGGATTAAAAGCAGATTGTATGAAAAAAAAAAAAAGGAGCCCTGGGACCTGGCATATAGAACATTCTAAGGTAAAGGAGGAGAAGTATATTTGGTTTTTAGGGTTTCTTCTCTGTAGTAGCTGCTGAGCGAGGAAGGAGATGATAGTTATATAATGGTGGGTAATTAGGGTAAAGGTTAATTTGGTAAATATGAGGTGTAGAGAGTGTTGGGCTTTGTCCAATTGAGCCCATTAACAAGCCCAAATGTTTCAAATATCTACTCTTGGGTTGGCCCTGACCCAACACAATCGATGTGGGATCGTACAGGTACATAACCTATCCGGTCCAAAAAAAAACTATTAACGATCGAAACTATCCAGTCCAAATTTGCTGCAATATGGAATACGTGTAGTCGTACATTTATCGAAGTTGAAGAAGAGTTGGGAAAAAATAGTTCGATCCTCTTAATTTTCTTTCTCGAACCGAGGGATATACAAATTGGGATTCTAATGTATATACATACAAATGGTCTAACGGAAACAAGAATTTCCAGGATTTCCAGGAGCATTCGGAACATTCAGTTTTCGAATAAAAGAATTGTTTTTAAGCAACGTTGTAGAAAGTCTCAAATTCAGAATTTTTCGCTGCCAGGATTTACAGAGAAACCAAGTCATAAACACGATAGTTCAGAGTCAGTTCTGAATGATTAAACTGGAAGGAGAGTCAGTTCCTTCCTGATTCTAACCGTCAAAACTTGATTTACTGAGAGATTGGATAATGAAAATACAGCATGTCTATCGCGAAGGGAATCGCTGTACTCTGTGAATCAATCAGACCTTCTCCTATCCCACTCGATCCTATCAGCTTCAGCACCCCCCTACGGAGATTCTTAGCGTCATTCGGTGAGGGTTTTATCGGGGCATTCTGGCCTAAAACGTGTCATACTCGAGCTGTCTTGTTTCTCCATTGTTTTGGTTCTTCTCCTTCTGTATCCAAAAAAAAAATGGAAGGTTGTGGGGATGGATCTGATCATAGCCTGTAAATTAATTGTTTCCTGTTTGAATAAAAGCAGATTAGGAAAGTAAGTGGGGTGATGATTAAATGCTTTTTAGAAATTGAATTACTTTCCATTTGCGGAACAACAAAAGTAGATGTTGATTTGGGAAATGTTATAACCTCTGAGATTTTGAAAGAAGCAACTTTTTCACCTTCGTTGTGTTAAAGGAGGAAAACAAGTGAGTGTTAGCTGGATGAAACTCCTTTTGTTTCAGAAGAATATATATATATATATATACATATAAGAAATACTACAAATAAATTTCAATTTTTAATTAATTAATTGTAATTTACATATTAAATAATTAATTTTTAAAATTATAACTTGAATAAAAATTTAATTATATATATATATTTATGTATTATAACTCCAAAAAGAGAAAAATGGCAGAAACCACAGATTATGTTGACTTTTGG